CGTCTTCCAGATCAGGACTATGTAGAAACATCTGCATTTGAAACTAGTGTGCGCTTAGCCTTTTGCAGTGGCTAGGTGGTGCTTCCATTACACTGGCACACGGCAGACATATGACGCCACACCTGGGCTGCTCAGCGGGTCCTGCTGCTTCCCTCTTCTGTTTCTCTGACCCTAAGTCCATTCAAGTTTTTAGGGGACTTAATTTTTATTTTCAAGTATTGACTGCATTTTTTTTTTCTCTCTTTGGATCACACCCGGCAATGCTCAAGGGTTACTGCTTCTGACTCTGCATTCAAATCACTCCTGGCAGTGGACCACATGGGATGCTGGGGATCGAACCCAGTTGACCATGTGCCAGGCAAATGCCCTCCCCGCTGTCATGTCACTCCAACCCTTAATTACATCTTATCAGTTGGCTGCAAGGGATGGGTCAGATTTCGGTCCCCCCAAGGCTCCACTGCAGTGCTCTAGTTTGTTATTTGGGAAGCATTGTCACCGCTGCCATACTTGAGTTCCTTGAATCTTTTTCTGAACTTCCTGCCATGCCTTCATTCCCAGTGCACCTGTGGGGTTGAGGACTGTAGCTTTCGGGGCTTGTTAAACTTTTTTGGGTTTTTTTTTTTTGGCAGGGGGGGGAAGCTGCCCTGACTAGACTTGATCACAATTCTTTTTTCAGATTATTCTTGGCTTTTCAGTTTTTCCCATGTGAATTTAGTCTTTAATTACTCAAAACTTTCGGGTAGTTATTTTAAGAGTGCATTAAATGAGTAGACTAATTTGACAACTCTCCAAGACATACTAAAAATAGGCTTTCAACTTTTTTGTGTATCCATTGTTACTGATTTAATGTTTATTCAAATAGGTTTTAATGTGTATTTTTAGCTGATTCCTGCTTAACAGCACCATTTTCTCTTAGTCCATTTTTGGTGCCTTAGTGGTTACTGGAGTTTCTGTATGTTCTGGCGGCTTTCCCCTTGGGCTCTTCACTGGCTCTCAGTGCTGCCATGGCCGGGTCAGTGCACGGTCTGTTATCTGTGAAACAGGTCTTAGTTTCTGTGTAGCCCGTCAGGTTTTATTGTTTCTTCTGTTACATTTGTCTTGGATTGCAAGCGATGTCTATTTTAATCGAGCTTTTCTCATAGTCCAGAGGGGAGAATACCCCTAATTTCTCTGTCTCTTTCTGCTTATATCCTTAAAATAAATATGATAAAAAGAAAAGTGGCGGGAAACTCAGACTGTTCTCCTGGTGGGCAGCTGGTATTGTATGGAAGGGTCACTCCGTGGCTTGGCCCATGTCTTCCTACTTTTCCTGCCATTTGAATATTGACATTTCCGCTAGGCCTGGTCTTGAAACTGTGTGACTAAAAATATTATAAAATCAGTGAATGTATATCTAGAAAACATATATGAGACACAGAGAGAGTGTGCAGGTGCGTATGTGAGCATGTATGTATAAAGCAGATATAGGAATAACAATAAGTTTGTTGTTTTGTGGCGACTGGGATTGAACACATGCAAGTGTTTTACCACTGAGCTGCCACCCTGCTGTACCCCCCTCCCTGCCCCAGAATAGGTTATTCTCAAGAGTTTTTATCTACTAATTGAATTCAAATATAATTGGAGGTGATGTGCTGCATAGTCACTCATGAACAAGCTGTAGGAGTATAGAAATGAAGTGATTTTCTTGCAAAATCAAAGAAGAAAACCTGGAAGAGGTGACGTCTGAGATGGGTTTGGAGGAATACCAAGAAGTACTTCCTGGGACAGCACTAGAATTAAGTAAGGCATCTGAGACAGGCTATGCTGTTCTGGGGGTTCTGAGCTGCCGTTTTGGGGGTTCTGAGCTGCCGTCCCAGTTGGAGTGTAAACTGGGAGAGAGCGTGGTTGGGGAGAGCAACCATCTCAGACTAAGTGAGGAGAACCTTGTCTCCTAGTCCTTCTCGGTAGAGGCGGCTCCTGCCAGGACAATCGCCTCAGTTGGGTATTTATTGACTCCATATGTCTGCCCAGCCATGTTTCCATTCAGGGAGGCATCTTCAGAGCTAGGGTTTGAGAACTGAACACACACAGGTGCTGGAGCGAGTCCAAGGGTGTGAGGGTCTGCACTGACAGTGCCTGCTTCCCAGGCTAGCCAATGTGTCCTTGTGTCGTGTCCCATCCCCCCACCCCACCCCCGTGGCCACTCCCAGGTCTGTAGCTCACCGCGGTGGGCTGGGCCTGGACTCCAGGGTTAGCAGGGCTGCGTGCTTACGGTTCATTTTTTCTGTCCTAGATTTCCTTCCGCGGGCAGCCTTGTGGATGGCCCCGAAGCAAGCCAGATGGAGCAGGACAGAAGCAGCCACGTGGAGGGGAGCGGACTGAGCCCATTCCTGGCGCCCTCTCCTCCCCCGAGAAAGCTCCAGAATGGAAGTCCGTTCCCAGAGGTCAACGGAGACAGCAGGTGGCAGCTGGGCGGCCACTACGGGGCGGCCCCGATGAAGGGGGCCCAGCAGAGCCGCCTGAGCCCAGACCTGCTTCTCGCAGGCCCCGGGCACCCCCCGGGCCTGCAGAACGGAGGCATCAAGCGCGCAGTGAGCGAACCTTTGCTCTCGGGGCTCCATCAGAACAAGAAGTCCAGACCAGACCAAAAGGCAAACGGAGAGAGAACCAGCTTCGGGGAAAGCCCGGACGAAGACCCAGGTGCAAGCAGGGATCAGCCAGATGGCTCCAGCCTGAATGACGGGCCACAGTCCTCGGGCTGGGCCGCTCAGGAAAACGCAGCGCAAGATTCCACTGGTGTCGCCACACGCCACTGCAGAGCCGCGGAGAACACTGAGCTGCAGGGTCTGCAGCGGCAGGAGGAGGAGGACGCCGAGGCCCCGACCCAGGCCTTGGCATCGCTTCTCCGGAGCTCGGCCGCGCTCGTGCCCAATGGTGCTCCTGCCCCTGCGTGTCCCGCGGGGCGCTCGCACGGTGCGCGCCCAGAGCAGATGCCGTCGCCACGGGACCCGCACTGTGTCCCCATCGCGGTGCTGCCGAGACCCCCGTCCCCCTCCCCCTCGGCCTGTGAGCCCCCTCCCCCGCCGCATACCTCAGGGCAGACTCACGCCCTTCAGCCCACCCCGCCAGGGCTGCCCCCCGAGCCAGCCGCGGCTGCGCCTGGTGCCGGTGCCCGGAACCCCTCCGCCATGCCCGGTGCGGGTTCCCTGGAGAGACCAGAACAGCCGCGCAGCCTCGAACTCCGCCCCGCCGACGGAGGCGCCCACCCCGGGACCGCCCTCCTCCTCGGGCCCGGCCGGGCCGCCTGCCCAGGGCCCAGTTGCCGTGACCCGCCGCCCCCGGGAGCCGGCCCCCAGTCGTGTCTCCAGCCAAACCCAACGAATGGTGCTTACTCGGAGCAAAGCCTGGTGTTCTCTGACGACTCCATCGCCGTGCCCAGCGCGCCCCCAAAGCCACGCGCACCCCCGCCCCCAGCCCCGCTGCTGCCCGGGCCCGGTGCGGCCAGTGATGATGCAGCGGGGTCTGGTCACTGCCCCTGCCCGGAGCCCCCGGGCCCGCCTCCTGCTACCCTCGCGGGGCTTCTGGAAAGGCCGCCCGGTGCCCACGCTGTCGGGGACGCGCCCCCTTCGCTGTGCCCCACTCAGCAGACCCCGCATCCGCGCCCGGCCGAGTCTGCGCCCCCGCCATCCTACTTGAAGCCGGGCTGGATCGACCTGACGGCCCCCCGCGCCCACCCCGCAGATGCCCAGCCGCGGTGGGAGGTGGCGGCCCTGCGGCCTGGCCTGCAGTACCAGCCCGGCCCCTCCCCGCAGTGCCCCGGGAATGCCCTTGGGAACACCCCTGTACCTGCGGTGCTAGAGTGCAGGGCACAGAGCGGCGCCTCCGAGGCCAGTCCGGGACCCCCTGCGCATGTTCCGGTCCCGAGGGCCCCCGCCCAGGGCTATTTACCCCGCGCAGCCCCTTCCCCCGACGCGCGCGCACAGCACGCGCCCTTCCAGCACCAGCTTCCCCCGCAGCCCCGCACCCCGCACCTGCTCCCCCAGAGCCAGCAGCACCCCCAGAGACTACCGAGGCTGAAGGAAGAGCCGGTGCTTGCGCCCTGCCTGCGGTCCCCGGATCCTCACGGCGTCCTGAGGCCGGTCCAGGGGGACGTGCGCGACGCGGCTTCCGACTCCACCTGTGGCGAGTTGCGCGCGGCCCGGGCCCAGCGCGGCCCCGAGCAGGCCCAGGATAACGGCCTCTACCCCTACGGGCCGTTCGCCAGGGCCAGCGCCGGCATGTTGCAGGTGCCGTGTGCCAACAGCACGCACCCATTCCTGGAACCTACAGCGCAGAGCCTCAGCTCCGTGCTCTTCGCAGGAAACGAAATCCAGAGCGTGCCTCGCGCGCAGTACTTCCCAAACCACGCGACCTCAAAGCCAGATGTTCTTAACAGGTGCTTTCCCGACCAGGAGCAGAAGCCTCCGCCCGCTTCTGTCCTCCAGGGCTGTCCGAAGAACTCCGACGCGTCCAGCCTGCCGGCCCCGGCTCACACGCAGCCCAAGTTCGCGCTGCAGAACCCGGCCGGGGGCCCTCCGCACGCCCCACCCCTCAAGGACTTGCAGAAGCTCGCCGCACTGCGGTGGCATCTCCTGCAGAAGCAAGAGCAGCAGCAGAGCCGGCAGTCCCAAATCGAACCGCGACCCATTAAGGTGGAGCCCGGAACCAAGACCCAGGCCTGCAGGTGCCCCATGTCGGCGCAGCCAGAAAACAAAATGTACAAGAAGTCCCCACAGCCAGAGGCAGCCCCCGCGGGCGGAGACGGCGCACAGCCCAGGAGCATCCTGGAGACCATGGAGCAGCGCCTCAAGCAGTTTCAGGCCAAGTCCCCGTTTGACCCTAAGACACTGGCGCTGAAGTCCCAGAAGCCAATCAAAGTGGAAGCACCAGGACCGCTCTTGGCCTTACCCAGACAGAGCGCCGCGCCCGACTGTGACGGCCACACCCCAGCTCTCGAGCATCCCGCTGCTCCTTCAGCCGAAAGAACACCCACCAAGCGAACAGCTGGCCCTGTTCTTAATACTTTCCTAGAGTCACCTTCCAAATTGCTAGACACGCCTATAAAAAATTTATTGGATACACCCATCAAGACGCAGTATGATTTCCCGTCATGCAGATGCGTAGGTAAGTGTCAGCATCTCTCCCTAACACACAGCCTGTATGGCATGTTTCTCATGGAACTTGAAATCTGCAGCCAGGAAAAAAAAAGATGGAAGCTTACATTGTTTTGTCTTTAAATTACAGATGCTTGAGCTGTGCAGGAGAGAATTTCACTTACATTCAGTGTTTTTCTTTTTTTAGAAAATTAAAAAAAATTTTGTGCATGCACATTTTCTTCCCAATAGCCAAAGCTTTCAAAATATAGATGTCTTTGAATAACTGAAAGCCATTTCATGAAGAGATAGGCAGGAAGACATCTGCAAACTTACAAGATGCAAACTTACGTAGATGCTGTCAGGATTGTTTTACATTCGACTGAATCGATAGCAAATTTTATAGTTGATTTCTTGATAAGAGTGGGGGAGAGGGTGATTTTCAGCATTGGTGAGTTGGGGGATTTCGACACAGATTCTACAGACTTGGAAAGCTGCCCTTTCTCCTATTGATGAAGTGTTGAGGCAAATCAGAATCATCTTGATTCTACTCTCTCTTACGTTCCTCTCACTGATAGGGAAGAGGATGTCTTCTTTGCTGATCACACATCTTTGGGGTGGCCCAGCAGTGCCCAGGTTTGCTGGTGGCGCTGGCTAGAGCAGGGCTGGCTTCACTTAGGTGTAGGAGAAGCATACTGGACCCTGCAGCTCATGGCCCGCCCACCGGTTACTTCAGATGCCCGCCCCTTCCTGACCCCACCCCTCCCTCTGCGCCCCTCCTCTTCTCATCCTGAACCTTTCCCTCTCTGCCACCTTTGAGTTTCACCTGCCCAGTCTCTGAGGTTTTTCTCAAAGAAGTTGTTTCAAGACCAGTGCTTCTAGTCTAACCTGGGCAATTAACCACAGGAGAAATGGAAAGTCTCGTCAATAAACAAACCAGGCCCCTGGGGCGACTTTCACTCCCCAGGAGACCTGGTCCCTGCTCCCTTGCAGGCAGGCAGGCGGCAAGCCAGCTTCAAGATTGGTTTTCAGTTGAAATACATTGCATTTTAATTGCTATCGCATAATCTAACTCCCTGTTTTAGTTCTACTTCCGTGTTTAAAATCCATTATTATCTGAAATGTAACACAATTCTACCCAGCCAGCATGCACATGTCCATCTCGGGCACATTTTATTTTTTATTTATTTTTTATTAGTGAAACACCATGAGGTACAGTTGTAGACTTACAAACTTCCGTGCTTGGGTTTCAGTTTATACAATGATCGAGTACCCATCCCTCCACCAGTGCCCATTCACCACCAGTGTTCCTAGTAGCCCTCCCACCCCCACACCCCATCATCCCCCCACCCCACCCCGTCTCTGGCAGGGCATTCCCTTTTGCTCACTTTTTCCTTCAGGGTCTTGTAGTTTTCGGGCACAATTCAACAGATGAGCCAGTTCGTCCTTTTACTCATTAAAAAAAAAAAATGCTTGAGTCAGACCGAGGGCCCTTCCTGTGAGTTGGGGGATGAGCTTTGTGGATGTAGCCTTTCTATTTAGTATAATTGAGGTCTAAAATAATAATCTTCTATTATCTCAACAGAGCAAATTATTGAAAAAGATGAAGGTCCTTTTTATACCCATCTAGGAGCAGGTCCTAATGTGGCAGCTATTAGAGAAATCATGGAAGAAAGGTAATTAACGCAAAGGCGCAGGGCAGCTTACGTTGATCCTTTTGTATATGTCCAACTCTCTCCAGTTCTCCCCGACAAAGCAGAAACGTTTGTAAACTGAGGAATGATTAGCGGGCTTAGTGCTTCAGGCTTGCCAACACTCCGCACGGTGCAGTTCACCAGAATCACAGTATCTGACAGGACTAATGGTCTCGGGCTGGCACAGACTGCCCGCTGAGCAGCAGACGCCAACCCCGGCAGGAGCAGGAGCCAGGCAGGCTGCCCCCGAGTGAAGAGCACTGCAGCGAGCGAGGGCCCTGGCATGGTCAGGGGCGGCCCCGCCAAGGCAGCTGGCCCCTGAGGCCCATTTGGAGGTGTGGCCAGTTCTCACTGTCCGTTCCGTCTGTGCTTCCCTACCTGGGCCTGCCCGGTGGGCTGGGCCAAGGACACGAGCAAGGCAGCAGTGCCCTCTGGGGGAGCTCAGTGTTCTGGTGGTGGCTGGCTGGGCTGGTGTCCTGAGGGGCGGGCAGCGTGCCCATATCCAGGTGACCCTCTCCGCCTCGGCCCGCAGAAAGGGCGAATCTCCCTCAGTGCCTCTTTCTTCGTAGTTGGTGCCTTGGTTTTAAGGAAAAGTAGAATCTATTTTTAGAAATATACTGTGTTTTCAAAGTTGCCTGATTCTAGTGCTTTGCCAGCACAATGTAAAAGATGCTTTGATAGTTTTAAACTAAATTCAGTGATGTTCCCTCAGTTTCAAAAACTCATTTAGTTAAGGCCAAATATCAACTCCTATGTCTCCTAGAGACCTGAATTTTACAAAACTTAGAAATGTTTCGTACTTTACAAAATTACGTATAAACTTAGCTTTCCCTCTATTTTTACCCAACATACAATCCAAAGTAGTTCATTCCAATTTCTAGTATATTTTAATATTAAAGAAATAAGGTTTAAAGATCAGTGCAGTTTGCTTGGCTTATACCTGCTTTTAAAAAGAAAAGCATCCATTTCCCTGGATGTGGTCATAGGATAAGTTTAGCTTAAATTTAAGTTCAGTATTTTAATTGTTGGATTTGCTTGCTAATTGTATGTGTGTGTTTCTGTGGATTTCTTTAAGGTTTGGCCAGAAGGGTAAAGCTATTAGGATCGAAAAAGTCGTCTATACTGGTAAAGAAGGCAAAAGCTCGCAGGGGTGTCCAGTGGCTAAATGGGTGAGTGTGACTTGCAGGCTGCAGCCTTGGGCCCGAGGCATCCCAGTCTAGCCAGACAACCACCTTTCTGCTTCCCTGGGCCCAAGAGAGGGATGCATGGGCTTGCTGTGCCTTAGGAAGAAGCAAATGAGTTATTTTGGTGGTGGTGATGGTGATGGTTTAGGTGCAGGTGAAATTTTTATTGTGTAGAAAGTACAAAGAATTGGGGCTAGAGCGATAGCACAGCGGGAAGGGCATTTGCCTTGCACAAGACCGACCTGGGTTCGATACCCAGCATCCCAGAGGGTCCCCTGACCACTGCCAGGTGTAATTCCTGAGTACATGAGCCAGGGGTAACTCCTGTGCATTGCCAGGTGTGACCCAAAAAGAAAAAAAAAGTATAAAGAATTTCCTCTCCCAGAGCCCTTTGTGTAAAGCTGGCAGTTAGGGTGGTGGGCACAAGGACCCTGTCAGGTACTGTAAACCCCCGACTCTCAGTCGAGGGGGAAGTGGAGGGAAAAGAGGCCAGCACGTGACGTGAGTCTCCTTCCAATTCAGTAGCCACTGGCCCTAGGGACCCCCCCAGTCCCCGCCCAGGCTAGAGGCAGGTGTGGGCACCCCCGGGCAGCAGCCATGTGGGCCGGGCTGACCTCTTACCCCGCGCAGGTGATCCGCAGAAGCTCCAGCGAGGAGCAGCTGCTGTGCCTGGTGCGGGAGCGAGCCGGCCACTCGTGCGACGCGGCAGTGATCGTCGTGCTCATCCTGGTGTGGGAAGGCATCCCGCGGGCGCTGGCTGACCGCCTGTACACGGAGCTCACCGAGTCGCTGGCCCAGCACGGTGCTCACACCAACCGCCGCTGTGCACTCAACGAGGAGTAAGTGCCTTGGGGTGGGGGTGGGGAGGGAGGGAGGGAGGGAGGGAGGGTACCCGCAGAGGGACCTCACTGCCTCAGCCACGGCTGTCACCAAGCCACTCTGCTGAGAGACTTGGGGATCCTTGGGTCAGGGACCTTGATGTGGCCAAGTGGCCAGACCCACAGGGCAAGCCGGGGGTCCCGGGGGGTTCCTGGGCAGTGAAGCTTGGCGTTGGCAGGAGAGGCAGCTTGCCAGGTGCTCTGAGGCTGCCATGTAGCACATAGGCTGTGCGATCTCCTCGCCCATGTTCACACATTAGGGCTCCCAGGAACTGCGCTGGTTCTTCTCAGTTTTGCCTCGATTCTCAGTGTACTCACTCTTGCTACTAAGAAAGGGTCTAACTCGACCTTTGTCTTGTCCCCTCTCTCAGCCTCCCTCCCCCCCACTGAGCTATGGGCGTCCTCCGCTGTTTGTTTTTTGGGGTTTGATGCTGGGGACTGGCCCTGTGGTTCTGGGCCCAGCGCGTGCCCTCAGCCCCAACCCCTGGGTTCCTTTAATCCTCTTGCTGACCTGCCTTCCTGTGCATGGTTTCTTCATTCTGTTTGCATCAGTTCTCCCAGCCAAGGGAAAGACAAACCCACTGTCAGTGTCTATGCAGGAAAATTGCTTTTTCTGTGTGAAGTGTGACTTGGCTTCCCTGGCAGTCGGGGCCTCGAGTGTCACACTGCCATTAGTCCTCTATCAGTGGCACATTAGGAGGTGGAAATCGCCTGCTCAGGCTTCCTGTGCTCTGCTGCTCTTCGCAATTCTGCTGTTTCCCACCAAAGAACAAGGAAGTCGGCTTGAAGATGAATATGGGGCCACAGAGGTACAGCAGGAACAGGAACAGGTACAGTAGGAATAGGTACAGGTACAGCAAGTACAGGAACAGGTACAGCAGGTACAGGGACAGGTACAGCGGGAGCAGGTACAGAAGAAAGAGGTAAGGTACAGTAGGAACAGGTACAGGTATAGTAATCCTACTGTAGCAGTATCTCATTCATCCTACAGGTACAATAGGATGAATGAGATACTACAGGTACAATAGGATGAATGAGATACTGGTACCGTAGGAATAGATACTGGTATGGTAGGATGAGATACAGGCACGGTAGGTAGGGCGCTTGTAAGTAGCCAGCGCGACTGCATCTGCAGCATGGTACACAGTCCCCAGAGCCCCCGCCTGCCCCCCACACCACCACCATAAGCATCGGTAATGAGAAAGTGAAATTTGAGCACTTGAGCTTGGCCTTGTGGACGGCACTTGAGTTGAGTTTAGTCACGCTGCCTTGTTTACTGTGACAGTGTTTTATGCATTTTAAAGTTCCATGCAAATTTTACCTGCTTTATAATCTCTTCTACATAACCAATGCAGATTCTGTGTCTTTTTTTGCAAGAAAAGTGGGGTGCCACAATTATGAAAAGCTTTATAAACGATATTAACTCATCTTGGGCCTGAAAAATCAGGAGCAGGGACTGCAGAGGTAGACAGGGGTAGGTGCTTGGTGCCTGCCTCACGCGTGGCTGACTGGGTTCTGCCCTGGCATCCCATAAGGTCCCCAGACACCGCTGGGAGAGATAGTAGAGCACAGAGTCATGAGCAACCCCTGAGCCTCGCTGGGCGTGGCCCAAAAACCAGAACCAAACCGAAAACACAACAACCCAAGGTGAAGAGATTCTATATTGGCATTTCCCAAAAATAACTTTACTTGAACGACTGTCATTGCCTTAAATGGGATGTGAGGGAGGGAGAGAGAGAGAGACAGAGACAGAGACAGACGGAGAGAGATTCCGTGTTAAGGACTGTCCTCAGGTGCCTGTTCTTGCATTTGAATGCCATGAGCAGTGGTAGTGCAGAATCGGAAATTCTCACCAGTGGCCTAATACAGAAAGGTTTGCTTCCGTTGGTAGGACATTTTAAATGCCAGTCAGTATTGTTTTGTCTGGAATTTCAAAATGACGAATTATTGCCTAGATCCTGATTAAGCTTTGGGAAGTTGTGGATAATTTCTGAACACCAAACCAGATAGAAAATAGATTGCTGAAGTATTCAGTGGCTAGGGACCTTCATTCAGCATTGGCTGTTTTTCTTTCCCCCCGTACTGCACAAACTTTATTAGTGCCTGGCAAACAGCCGGAAGTAGTGCTTTTGTCAAGAACGGAGGCTAATGGCAAGCTGGGACTGCCAAGTCGGCCGTTGAGCAGAGCTGTGTGTGTGCTCCCTCTGCCCACATGTCTCAGCCACCCACCGTGAGTGTGAGAGTGAGTGCAGTAGCTTCACATTTCCTCTCAGCCCAGCCAACGGGTTTTTTTCCCCTCAAGATTTCCATGATGACTAAGTGTGAGCAGTCTGTCTTTGGCACAGTGAAGAGCGGGGGGAGCAGGGCAGTTTTTCTAGGAAGTGCCTCTGCCATTGAGGACACATTCCTCGCCAGCTCTCTCCAGGGGAGCGTGTGCTTTGAGCACGTCAAGGTTCCCACTGCCTGTCCTCGACACCCCCCCGCCCTCCATGCAGGGTGCATGTCCAACACGGCTCTGGACCCCCTGGTTTGTCTCAGGACTCATGGGGCCCTTGAGAGCACGCCCAATTCCCCAACGTCATCCCGTTTTTCTTCTGAATCAAAAGTGAAAAAAGAAATAGTTTGCACTTTGAGTTTGGTTGGCCACAGTTGTTGCCAGCTGGTGAGACTCATTGCTAATCTTTAAAACCAAGATGAAAATGTTTTAGTTGGTCTGGTTATTTATCCCCTAACCTTGAACCAAAATAATTTTTTTTGGCGGGGGTGACATCAGTGATGCTCAGGGGTTACTCCTGGCTCATACACTCAGGTATTACTCCTGGTGGTGCTTGCGGGACCATATGGGATGCTGGGAAAATGCCCTACCCACTGTGCTATTGCTCCAGTCCCTGAGACAAAATTTTATTTTATTTTTTTTGCTTTTTGGGTCACACCTGGCGATGCACAGGGGTTACTCCTGGCTCTGCACTCAGTAATTACCCCAGCGGTGCTCAGGGGACCATATGGGATGCTGGGAATCAAACCCAGGTTGACCGCATGCAAGGCAAATGCCCTACCCACTGTGCTATTTCTCCAGCCCCCCTACCCTGAGCCAATCTTTTTAGCTGAAAGAACAAGTCCCTTTTTGGGGGGGGGGGGGGGGTTACAACCAGTGATACTCAATCGCTGGGAATCAAACCCGGGTGAGTCATGTGCAAGGCAAATGCCCTACTCACTGTGTTATCGCTCCAGCCCTACAAAGTCTTTCATACCAGAAATAATTTTAAGGACTGTCCACCTTGTAAGGTTGTTTTCTGAGACATAATTTACATGTCATAAAATTTACCTTCACAGATGACAATGAAAATAGTTTAGTATATTCAGAGTGGTATAACATTTTCACTGTATTGGAATGGTGTCCTATAATACCTACAACTGGAGAGATACAATTAGCATCTTAATGCTCACTCTCATAGAAAATTATATGTAAAAGCTTCAAAAGGACTTAGATTTCATTGCATGTATTTATAAAGAATAGTATTTGTAGGGTCTACAGAGATAGCACGGCAGGTAGGGCACTTGTCTTGCACACGGCTGACCAGGGTTCAATCCCCCGCTCCCCAGATGGTCTCCTAAGCCTACCAGGAGTGACCCCTTAACTCTGAGCCAGGAAAAGACCCTGTGCATCACTGGGTGGGGCCTCTCAATCCAGTGATTTGTATTCATGCAGATCAACACACTCTGACCACTTGTGCTGCCAACTGGATAGTGGATGCTTGGCTAGTTTCACTTCAGGCCAACAGTGTACCACAACCTGATGTCCTCCAGGTTGTGCGCACACACACACACACACACACCTTGAACTGGGGTTAGTCATGGCCTCTCTGTTGGAATTTTTAGATGAATCCCCACAATGCTTCCAAAGCTGCTGCATACTTTTTCATTCCTATAGCACAGCGGTAGAATGTTTGCCTTGCACGCAGCTGGCTCGGCTGAGCCAGGTTCGATTCCTCTGCCTCTCTCGGAGAGCTCGGTATCTCACCCACACGGCAAAGCCTGGCAAGCTACCCATGACAAATTTGATAGGCCAAACACAGTAACAACAAATCTCACAATGGAGACATCACTGGGCCTGCTTGCTTGAACAAATCGATGAACAACAGGAGGACAGTGCTACAGACAGTGCTACTCCTAAATATTTAGAGGTTCTGGGCTGCAGCGATAGCACAGCAGTAGGGCATTTGCCTTGCATGTGGCCGTCCTGGCCGACCAGAGTTCAATTCCTCCGCCCCTCTCGAATTGTCCGACAAGCTACCAAGAGTATCTCACCCACACGGCAAAGCCTGGCAAGCTACCCATGATGTATTCGATATGCCAAACACAGTAACAACAAAGTCTCACAATGGAGACGTTACTGTGCCTGCTCAAGCAAATCAGTGAACAACGGGAGGACAGTGACAGTGACAGTGGTTTCCACATAGTAAACTGGCCCTCTTGTAGATCCTGTTCATCGTGGTGGATATGAAGTCTCTGATTTGCATTTCCCCACAGACTAATAGGACCGGGCCCAATATTGCTTGCTGTCACCCCTCAAGTTGTTTGGAGAGGCCTACTGAACTCTTTACTAGTCACTTTGAAATTATGAGCATTTTTTTTTCCCGTGGTAAGGTTCAACTACATGTTATTGATAATAATGATGCTAGAATTTTAGCAGATTTAATTTGCAGATATTTCCTCTGAATCTGTAGGTTTTCTTGTTCTTTGTTGTAATTGGTGTCATATTTAAAACGTCATGGCCTCATCCAGGTCACGGAGATTCACACCTGTGATTTCTCCACAGAATGTTACAGCTTTGCCTCTTTTCAGGTTTGTGAGCAGAGTTGTCAGTTCATAAGTGATGTTAGCGACCACCTTCGTGTTTTGGGGGAACTGGCTCTCCCTTTGTCTCTGTATCTATCTGTTGTGAATCTCTCTTGAATGGTCTTGTCACCCTTGTAGAAAACTGACAAAATGAGAGGCTGTGATGTAAGTGTGCAGTGGGAGAGTGCCAACCTCACATTGGACTCGGAGACTCCAAAAAGACTCAATTTTGAAAAATACAGAATTTCAAAAGTTGTTTAAAAAGGTGGAGATCACAGATCTACACTGTAGCACTGCAGCACTGCCCTCCCATTGTTCATTGAGTTGCTCGAGCGGGCCCCAGCAATGTCTCCATTGTGAGACTTGTTACTGTGTTTGGCATATCGAATACGTCACAGGGAGCTTGCCGAGCTTGCCAGGCTTTTTCATGTGGGTGAGATACTCTCGGTAGCTTGCCGGGCTCTTCGAGAGAGGTGAAGGAATTGAACCTGGGCCTGCCGGGTCGGCCGAGTGCAAGGCAAACACAGATCTACACAATTTTAGAAAATATAAATGAAACAACAAAGTTCTTTACATAGTAAAAAGAGGACAGAGAGATACAACATGGGGAGGGCGGCTGCCTTGCATGTGGCCAGCTGGGGTCCAGCCCTGGTTCTACATATGAGCTCCTGAGCCCACCAGAAGTGATGCCTGAGTGCAGAGCCAGGAGTTAGGGCTGAGCAGAATCAGGTGTGACCCCCAAACCAAATAAACAGAATGAAAAAAGCTGAAAGGCCACAAAACAAGTATGGCCCCAAACTAGAAAACACCCAAATGCCTGTGAGTGATAGACTAGCCAGTCTGCGCGTGCTCAGACTGTCACTTGCTGGAACAGACATGAGTGGAGTGTATGTGGCCATCTATCTGGACGGATCGGGCAAAGGTGCTAAACCCGGAGGCCGGTGTGTACTTCTCTGTGTAATGGCAAACATGGAATGCTGTGCATGTTTGCGTGTGGAGTTTCATCTATTTTTATACTGTTTAACTTTAAGGCAAAATTTAGAGCAAAAGTGCTAGTGTAAATTACATAATATATACTACATATGGTTTAGTTCCTATAGGAACTGGGCCTGCTAAATTTTGTGTGTGTGTGTGTGTGTGTGTGTGTGTGTGTGTATGCACATGTATATCAGTGTGTGTGTTATGTATCTGTATGCACGTGTGTATATACATCGAGGGGATATGGGAATAGGCCAGACTAGCGTTCCGGGGCCCCAGGGGGGCTGTGGGAGGCGGCTTCGGGGCAGCCTTGAGTGACTCTGCCCTTGGCCTAGTTTTCTTGATGAGCACTTGGGGCTGGTCACTGGAAGAGACACAAACCCAGACGCGTGTGTGGGGATGGCGCTGTGCCTGCCTGTCGGGACTCACTTTGTGGCTCCCAGGGCCCTGCTAGCCTGGTTGCTGCTGGCGAGACCCTGAGCCCGGCCTCGGTTCGCAGGAGAACGTGTGCCTGCCAAGGGCTGGACCCCGGGACCTGCGGCGCCTCCTTCTCCTTCGGCTGCTCCTGGAGCATGTACTACAATGGATGTAAGTTTGCCAGAAGCAAGATCCCAAGAAAATTTAAGCTGCTTGGGGATGACCCAAAAGAGGTTTGTTCACTTCCTGACGTATAATCTCTCTATTTCTCACGGAGGATCGATGAGCGCAGATGAAATGGCTAGAAAGAACGAACTCCATTAAGTTCTCACTGCCAGACATCAGAGTCTTGACAGCAGTAGAGACTTTCTGCCACCTTGGGAGAATTCGCTAGTGCCAGTCGTGGGTACCATGAGGTGAAGTTTGAGCCATGGTCTTGGCTGTAGCATTTGGGTTGGATTCATTTATCAACACATTTAGATCCTAATGGGAAAGTGTATTTAAAAGAAATTAAATTGATTTCTCATTGAAGCCACTGGGTTTTATCTTCTAGAATATACATTTCTCAAAAATACTACTTTCAGATTGATAAGCAATTCAATTTTCAGGTGATCAATCCAATTCGTGGTGTGATAATAGAATAATTAAAGATATCAATATATTTCATTTTTAGATAGAGCCAGTTTTTTGTGCTTATGCATACCTTTAGCCTTTATATTTTAAATGCAGTGTAAGGGTATGATTCTATTATGGCTATTGACATGTTCCTCTCAGCAAAACTTGACTATAAAGAGTAAATAAGGGGCTGGAGCGATAACATAGCGGGTAGGGTATTCGCCTTGCACATGGGCAACCCGGGTTCGATTCCCATATGGTCCCCTGAGCACCGCCAGGAGGAATTTCTGAGTGCAAAGCCAGGAGTGACCCATGAGCTTTGCCGGGTGTGACCCAAAAAGCTTAAAAAAAAAAGTAAATAAAATAGAACTTGCACTGTAACCACCAGTTGGATTCTCGAGAAGGACAGCTTTCCTGCTCCTGTTTTCTTTATCATTCAAAGTTCATGCAAAACTAGCCCTGAGTAAGGGGCTGTCAAGGCCCATGCAGATACCCACAGCCCAAGCAAACTCAGGGGTCTTGCCTAAGAGTTTTAGAGAAGCTCGCTGTGAAATCAGAGCGTCTGAGTCTCATGGCCCTACGTGTCTGTGTCTGGGGTTACCCCAGCATTTCTCCGTTCCCTAAGAATCAGCCTCCTGCAGAAATGTCCCGTACTAGTGACGGGAGTCTTTGGGGGTTTTGTTCTGCATTGTTTTCCAGTACTAGTGGTGGGACTCCAGCCAGTGCCCAGACAAGGCCTGGCTTTTCCATGACTTACATGCACCTCGGATTCCAGTCTATCAGTATCAGTATTTTAGAAATTCTGTTTTTATGCTTTAAGAAACTGAAATTAGTCTCCCCTTGGCTGTTCTCCCTAGATGAGTAGAGATGGAGAGCAGAGTGGGAACGGAGGGTCTGACACTTCACCCCCCCCCCGGCCCCCTCCCTTGGGCTTCTGTCAGTTAAACGTGAGGTACCTGCATGCAGACTCAAGAATTAAATGGAGGGGCTGAAGCAATAGCAAAGCGGGTAGGGCATTTGCCTTGCACACTGACCCACGTTCAATTCCCAGCATCCCATATGGTCCCCCGAGCACCGCCAGGAGTAATTCCTGAGTGCAGAGCCAGGAGTAACCCCTGAGCATCACCGGGCATAACCCAAAAGGCAAAAAAAAAAAAAAGAATTCAATGGAGTTGGTGATGTTCCTGTACTTGGCATGGGTTTTTCAAGGTTTAGTTATTATGCTAAAGCACCCCAGAGTGACTGGGGTCCAAGGTGGCAATTGTCACACTGAAGCCTCTCATCTCGAGAAGGGAATGCCTTCAGGATTTAATCTGTACAATGCTTCGTCTTACACAGGAGGAGAGGCTGGAGTCTAACTTACAGAATCTGTCCACACTCTTGGCACCCATTTATAAGAAACTTGCACCTGACGCCTATAATAACCAGGTAAGTAGAATTATTCCTGATAAGCAAACAATAGTGTTAGAGCTCTACATGCTTCCAAGTTGATTTTTGAAAATATTTGTAGCTTTTTATATTTCTTTACCAGTAACAATGAAGGGTCTCGTTCTCCTAACTCTGAAAGAGCCTTGAATATGGCACTTTTTAAAAAAAATCTCAGGGCCAGGAAGGACGAAGGAGACGTTACTGGGGCCTGCTCAAGGCAATCGACGAATTTCTATTTCTTATTGCCAAAGCCTGTTAAGTGTGTGCTATAATACACACATTTGATAAGTACAAGTTTTAGTCTATTAATTTGTCTAATAATATTAGGTGTTTTAAAATTACACATCATAACTTACAAAACTTCTTAATGAGATTGTTTCAGGCATGTCACTTTGTGTATATGGTGTCTTGGAGTGTTCCTAATAGGGTCTCTCTTCACTGAGACCCTCTGGTCCGATCTTGGTGCCCGTCATCCTCAACTCGGGCAGTTCTGATCAATAGTTTCTTTTGCCTTCAGGTACCCCAGTGACTCTTCTCTTGTTCCTCTGAACTCAGCCTGTTCTCTAGTGCTGTTCATTTCTTTTCAGATGATTTCCCACTTTCTGCTGTTTCCTAACGGTTTCTTCTTCCTCATCTTGAATCTCTTTGGTTATTTGCTTAGCTTCTGTTATTGACATGTTTAATGTCACCGACCGTCTTTTACATATCTGTCATTTTGCTTCGACTCTCATGCCTTCCTGTTCTTTGCTCGCTGCCTGTATTGTCGTTTCTTTGAACTCCTGAACAGCCTCATTATGGTGTCGCTAAAGACACCATCTGAGGGTTTCCTAGTGTTCACGTCTTGGGTGGTCTTGGTTGGTCTTGGTTTTGCTCATTGAGCTCGGTGGGTTTCTTGTTTTCCCCCTTGATTTTCTAGTTCTTGTTTTTCTGGGGGTGGGTTTCTGTCCTTAACTCCTGGGAAAGTGTGGAGGGATTAGCTAGAGGTTGCTCTGTCTTACCCGCCTGTCCTCACTGAATGACAGGAAGAGTAACTGAGCAGCAAGATTGGGGGCTGCTGGGACCCTCGGAAGGGAGGCTCTTACTGCCTCCTTCCTCTTGGGACAGGCCCAGACAAGCCTCACCTAGAGGGGGAAGCAGCAAGCAAAGGTCACCGGGTGTGACCTAATTCTAGCTACGAACGTATCAAAAATATTTATAATGTCTAGCATCCTGTTCAGCATGACGAAGCACACAAAGAAAATGTGACCCCAAATGGGGGGTGGGGGTAGCAGCCACAGACCAGCTTAGATGTGAGCTGTGACAAGGACATGCAGCCATGGGCATTAGTAGAGCTGCTGTCCCCACATGGCCTGACAGAGGCCACAGAGTGTGTGCCTTGGGCTGGGGAGGGTGGAGCGGGGGGCACTCTTGCATGCAGTTGGCTCAGTTCCATAGCAGGGGCAGCTAAGCTGGGGGCCTGAGAGCCCAGGGCCTTCCGGAGCTGGAAAGCATCTCATGGACACACACCAGGGAGTCCGAGGTGAGGCCGGAAGTGGCTCCAAGGCCCTGGGACAACATGGGCAAGTCCTGTGTGGCTAGGGAGAGGGGGCAGAAGTCAGGGAAGGTGGAGGCTGTCCCTCACAAGCCTCACTAGATCGGGCACACGAGATCACGTCCTATCAGTCACTACAGAGAGGGACAGCAGCCCCCAACTCTGCAGCTACTGAGGGTTCCACGTTGGATTAGAAATCCACAGGGCTTAGGCCTGGGTGGGGGATGGGGGGCTCTTGCACACAGCTGGCCCAGTTCCATTCCCAGCATCACATTTGGTTCCCCCCAGCACTTCCAGGAATGAGCCCCCAAGCGCCACCAATATGGTACAAAATGAAAAGCAAATAGGCATAAAGATAAGGGCATTGAAAACTCACTGTTGGTCAGGTTTTAGTTTGGTTTGGTTTGGTTTTAGGGCCATACCCAGCAACACTCAGGGGTGACTCTTGGCAGTGCTCGTGGGACCACATGGGATGCCAGGGATTGAACTCTGGTCAGCCGCATGCAAGGCAAACACCCGACCCGCTGCACTATCACCCCAGTCCCAGATCTCAGTTTCCACAGGATATAACACTTTTCTACTACTTAGCCCTAGTGCATCTATAGCATTCAACAGAATCAACAGTATTTCCATCTAAAGGATTTGCCAAGATTGATTCTATTTATTTAAAATCCACAAGTTATTTCTTATTAGAGAAACTAAAGTATGTACTAGAAATTGAGCAACAAATTGATAAGTAATCTTAATTTCTAAGGAGAAATTAAGAATGTGTTGAACGGATTGGATTAAAGGCATGGCATTGCAACGTGTGGGGCGCGGCAGTCAGGCCTGACCCAGAGACACTTCTGCTGCACTGAGCGCCCGACGTTAGCTGCATAGCAAGGCTCAGAGCAAAGAGGTGCTACTTCTTCCCGAAGGAACCAGGCGAGAGCAATGAAAGCCTGGAACACCTTAGCCCCAAGATCAGGAGTAGGCACAGATACTCTTACCACTTAGTTTTTCAACCTGACTAGAAGTGTTAGTGCAGTTGGCAAGAAAAAGCAGGCACTGGATATGGCTGGTTGTGGCCTCCAAACAAAAGCACATAATGAAAGAGAAAAATTAATCAGAGAACAAATGACTTTAGGATGGGTTTGGGGTGTGTGTGTGTGTTGCATTTTGGTCACACCCAGCGAGGCACAGGGGTTACTCCTGGCTCTGCACTCAGGAATTCCTCCTGGCAGTGCTTGGGGGACCATATGGATTGCTGGGAATCAGGTTGGCACGTGCAAGGCAAATGCCCTTCCCGCTGTGCTATTGCTCCAGCCCCTAAGATGTATTCTTTAAATAAGTGTAGCTGGCTGCACATAGGGATGGAGTACATGCTTTGCAGGGAGACCCCTGGTTAGTCCTCCGTAGTGCAGGGTTCTCCTGACCCTTGTGAACAGTGGCATGTGCTTTGCACCCCCCCCACCCCAAGTGGTGTTTTAAAGAAAATTGTAAGGTGATTTTAAATGTAGCCGGAAGTGCAAAGAATATGAATTTTTCTAAATGAAGTAGAATTTGAAGACCCATACTGGCTGATACAAGATTTACTGAAAATCTACATTTAGTAGCGGTCAATAGAGTTTGGTATTGGCTCAAACCAAACAGCCCTAGGACAGAGCCAGCATGTATGGTCCAGCACAGGACTAAAAGGCAGTTGTGAGGTTGTTTTGAATGCATACATTTTATTTTATAAAGTTGTTCACAATAGTTCATCGCAGATAATATTCAAACACCAATCCTACCACCGTGTACCACCACCATAAGAGGAAAGTGTGTTAAGATTGTTGTATTTCATCCTGGAACTCTTTAAGCCCTTTTATGAGAGAATAGAAGCATGTTAAACCCAAACAAATGTGTGCTACTTTTGGTACATCAGTGGGCTGGAGTAGAAGAGGTTGTGCACTCCAGGGTGTTCTGTGTCACTCTCTTCTGGGAGCTTTGGTTTATAGACTCTGGATCTTGGCTGTTAATGAGATTATGTGGCACCAGGGGGCAGTTTGTGGGTGTGACTACCAAGCTACTGGAAAACTAAGGAGCCTAGGGGGAGGAGGCCCAGTCCTGTTCCAAGTGAGGTTGGAGATCTCAGTCACGGGTCCCGCATACCTGGGTTTTTCTGCAGGTTCCCTTATTGGTGAGGCTCATCCAAGCTTTTGGAGAGTGGCCTTGAGCATGGCAGTGGTTGGGTTCTACTTGGGGTGGGGAGGAAGACTCAACCTGCCCCCCTCTGAGTTGCTCTTCTGAAGAGAGCCTGGCATAGGATCGGGAAGGTCTGTAGGAGTGAGGTTTCTATCCAGCAGCATCTGAACATTTGGACAACCCTACAGGCGAATGGATGTTGCCTCTTTATGAGATTGGGTCCCCCTGGGCACTGTGCTCAGCTGTGCGCAAGACAAGTGCTTTATCTACTTTTCAGTTTCTCTGGCCCCTGAACATTGCCTGTTAACCTCACACCACATATGAAAGTCACAGAACACTGTTGAAGGTACAGACAAATCTGCAGCACTGGAAGCAGATGAGTTGTCCCTGAGCACAGAGGGGAGTTAAGTCCTGTGAAGGAATGTGACCATGTGGCCAGGTGGTAGACGTGTGCTGGTGTCGTGGGCCGGTCCTCAGGAACCAGGTTCTCTGAGGCTCCCTGGACCCTTCTGTCTGTGTTCTTACTCTCTCACACACTTTGTTGTTTCAGATTGAGCATGAGAACCGAGCCCTGGAGTGCCGGCTGGGTCTGAAGGAAGGCCGTCCGTTCTCGGGGGTCACTGCATGCCTGGACTTTTGTGCCCATGCCCACAGAGACCTACACAACATGCAAAATGGCAGCACGCTGGTGAGTGGCAGAGCCTGGATGATCTGGGGCATTCTCAGCACTCGAGTCAGTCTAGACAACTGGTAGACCCTGATAAGTCACAAGCAGAGACGAGCCACGGCACTCACCCCCTCACAGAGCAGAAGCAAAATCTCTCCTCGAAAGTCCAGGAAGGCTCGGGGAATGAAGGAGCCCCGTTCACTTCCAACTCACCGAGACAAAGTCCCGAAGCCTGGGGAGAGGCAGGTCCTAGGTGGGCAGCTGCACCCAGAGCGGGGACAGGGCAAGTCCAGCAGAAGGACACACACACTGAAGGACACACACACTGGGCATCCCGAGGAGAAAAGATCTGGAGGCGCCAGCTGGGTTCCGTGTGCTGGAAAGTGCCACCATGTGGTGCTTAGAGATGCGGGGTTGATGCGCTGGCCTTGCGGGACAGCCTTCCCGCCCCTTGCTGTCCACCTGCTATGGGAGGAGTGACCATGTCCCATGCCCCTTTTGTGTCGAGCACTCGGGTGTGTTGGCACTAGCCAGCCAGTCACCTAGATCAACAGGGTTGTGGCTACAAGAACAGAAAGGACCTTCAGTGATGGAAGCGGCAGATGTAGCTTTTCCTTCCCTCTTGGCGCCCGTCTGTTAACCTCAGAAAAGAGATGAGAAGCGAAACAGACCAGAGAAGGAGGGCAAAGGAAGGTAGACACAGCCTGGGCCAGACCACCATGCTGTTTGACATAGCTGGATTTCACTGTGCTCTGGAAATGCCAGACACTTGGTGATGGGCTGCTGCTGGGCTGCGTGTACAGAAGGCGTCACAGTTCTTCATGTAGGAAAGTTTGAGATGAGGCAGATGAACTTTTCCAGAACCCGAGCAGGTCGGGAGGAAGTGGAGGCTTTCCTGTGCCCTGTTCCCTGCGTGGGCATCCTGTGGGGGGAGCGAGGAGAGGTGGGTCCTCTGCCGCCCCCCCCCCCCCCCATCCACCAGCCAGACCCATCCCCTCTGCACGCACACTCAGGCTGCGGGCGCCCTCTCCCCCCAGGTGTGCACACTGACCAGAGAGGACAACCGGGGCGTCGGGGGCAAGCCGGGTGACGAGCAGCTGCACGTGCTGCCTCTGTACAAGATCTCAGATGTGGATGAGTTCGGGAGTGCCACGGCCCAGGAGGAGAAGCAGCGCAGCGGGGCCATCGAGGTGCTGAGCTCCTTCCGGCGCAAGGTCCGGCGGCTGGCCGAGCCCGTGAAGACGTGCCGCCAGAGGAAGCTGGAGGCCAGGAGAGCTGCGGCCGAGAAGCTGTCGGCCCTGGAGAACAGCTCAAGAGCCAGTGACAAGGACAAGGCGGCCGCTGCCCGGGCCAAGCCGAGCGATAGTGCCGCCCAGGCGAAGCAGCTGGCAGGTGAGCAGGGGGAGGGTCTCGGATGTAGAATCCCGCCCTAGGCCTGGCAGGAGGGGTCCGCCCTGTGCCCGCTGCCCTGGGATGGCCTTGAGGGAACAGCAACTCGAGGGGCACGCTTGGGCCTTAAGCTGTCACCAAGAGAAGACTCACGATGGGCGATTCAAGGCAAGGTGCTCCAGTCCAGACAGATGCAGGTCTGGGAGCAGACTGGGTGGGCAGCATGGCCGAGGGTGTGCTGCTTCTAGACCCTCCACCTGGGCAGGAGAGAGGAGGAGAGGGGAGGAGAGGGGAGAAGATGGTGTTCTCAGGGCTGGGGGCATGTGTGTCGTATAAAGGGTCACCCAGCTGGCCACACCTGGCCAGCCAGCTGAGCCCTAGTGAAACTAAGCTGGCATTTCCTTCCAGAACCCTTTGCCTTGGGGGTAGGGGGTTGGGCCGACCATGCTGGGGTTAGAACTCAGTGCCTCCCACATGTAAGGGCCGTGCCCCGCCTTGGAGCCCCAGCTCTGCCTTCCCCAGAGCCCCCTTCGGGCAGTGGCTGCACTCAATCCTGGCTGGCTCAAGGTACCATGTGGACATTACATTCAGGGCAGATTCCTACCCACCAGAGCCCCCTCCCTTTGTGTTTTTTTGGGGGGATGGGGGGGTCACACTGGTCTCAGGGGTTATTCCTGGATCCTCACTCAGGAATAACTCCTGGAGGCACTACTCTGGTAACTTTATGGGATGCCAGGGATCGAACCCGGTCAGCCACTTGCAAGGCAAATGCCCTATTTTACTAGCGACGGCTCCGGCCCCTGTCCTTCCTTTAGGTCTATAATGAATACTTAATATTTTTCTTTTTCTTCTTCTTTTTTTTTCTTTTGGTTTTTGAGTCACACCCAGCAATGCACAGGGGTTACTCCTGGCTCTGCACTCAGGAATTACTCCTGGCAGTGCTCAGGGGACCATATGGGATGCTGGGAATCGAACCCAGGTCAGCCACGTGCAAGGCAAACACTCTACCCCCTGTGCTATCGCTCCAGCCCCAAATACCTAAATTTTTAGAATAATATCCTCCTTGGCATTGGAGATGTCATTTGTCTGACCATGAGAAAAGGAAATAAAAAGACTATTTGTCAGTTTCCTCTACCAGTAGCCTGGCTTCTGAAGGTCGCATCACTTGGTCCTGACTCCCTCTGGAGCCCCGTCTGAGCACTCTGGGGGTGCCTGGTCTTTAGGGACCCATTCAGAGACCCACCCTTCCGACACCCACTGGGTCTTTGCTAAAATGAAGGTCAGGAAATGGCACCGCCTTCACAAGAAACCAGGTGGCCTCCCTCTCTAAACACAAACGTTAGTTTCCTCTCTGGAAAGTGCAGCTAATGGGGTTGGCAAAGGGGTGGCGATGTTGCCCAGCCATGCTGGTGCACACAGCACCAAGAATCATCATGATGCAAAACAAAGGGACTATGAGAGGAGGGGGGTGAAGACCACAGGGTGCTGAGTGCGGGGCGTGGGCACGGGGCAGCGGCCCTGGGCGGAGATGCGGTCAGCGCCAGGCTCGGGCTTCCTCTTCTTCCCTCGACAGGGGCGGCGTCCAGTTGCCTTTTCTGTGCCCGTCCTGGTGGTGCCGTCACCGCCGCCTAATAACCAGCCCGTTTGTCCCGCTCTCTCGTCCCGGCCACAGAACTGCTGCGGCTCCCAGGACCCGGCGTGCCGCACCCCGCGCACCCCGCGCAGCCTGAGGTCACCTCCTACTCCAACATGTACCTGCGACGGCCGCCCCCGGCCGGCCCCTACCCGGGCGCACCGCCCGCCTCGGACCCCGGCCACCTCTACCCCGGCGCCAGCCCCACGGCGGGCTCCTACTTGAACACTTCCGGCCCGCTGAGCCCCTACCCCGGGCTCTTGCAGCCCGGCCCCCAGTACCCCGCCTTCCCGTGCAACGGGGGCCTCCCGGGGGACGCCTGCGGGCCCTACGCCGGTGCCTACTCGCCGCCCGCGCCGCCCACCGAGCTCTACGGCTACCCCGGCCAGGACGCGCTGCCCAAGCTGCACCTGCCGCCCTTCCACACGCTGTATCAGGCGCGCCTGGCGGGCGCCCGCGGCTTCCTGGGCTGCCCTGCACCCCCCTTCCCCGCGCCCGCCGACGCGCCCCCGCCGCCCCCGCGCGCGCCGCCCGCGCCGGACGCCAAGGCCGACGACGCGGACGTGTGGTCCGACAGCGAGCAATGCTTTCTGGATGGCGACATCGGCGGCGTGGCCGTGGCGCCCGCACACGGCTCCATCCTCATCGAGTGCGCCAAGCGCGAGCTGCACGCCACCACGCCGCTGCGCGAGCCCAACCGCCAGCGGCCCACGCGCATCTCGCTGGTCTTCTACCAGCACAAGAGCATGAACGAGCCCAAGCACGGGCTGGCGCTGTGGGAGGCGAAGATGGCCGAGAAGGCGCGCGAGAAGGAGGATGAGGCGGCGGGCACCGAGCCGGGCCGCGCACACGGCCGGAGGGCGCGCCGGGAGCCCCCCGACGGCCACGACCCCGCGCCGCCCGCCTACCTCCGCTTCGTGCAGGCTCTGGCCGCGCGCACGCTGGCCGCCACCACCGACTCCACCGTCACCACGGCGCCCTACGCCTTCACGCGCGTCACCGGGCCCTACAGCAGCTACATCTGAGCCGGGGGTCCTCCCGAATGGTGCTAAGAAATCACGGTGTCTTGACAGTCCAGTTCAATGCCTTTCCCCCGTCCCGATGCTGTTCGTGTGGTCGAGGGGGCACGCCCCAGGCCCCCTTCCAACCAAGTGTGCGTCATTACCTGTCCCTGCAGTGTACGTCATCGCTGGGTCCTGCAGTGTTCGTCATTGCCAGGTGATGCAGTGTGCGTCATCACCAGGTGCTGCAGTGTGCGTCATTGCCCGTCCCTGCAGTGTGCGTCGTTGCCCCTCCAGCAGTGTACGTCATTGCAGGTCCTGCAGTGTGCTTCATTGCCCGTTCCTGCAGTGAGCGTCGTTGCCAGGTGCTGCAGTGAGCTTTCATTGCCTGTCCCTGCAGTTGCATCATCGCCACGTGCTGCAGTGTGCGTCATCACCTGTCCCTGCAGTGTGCGTCGTCGCCAGGTGCTGCAGTGTGCGTCATTGCAGGTCCTGCAGTGTGCATCATTGAAGGTCCTGCAGTGTGCGTCATTGCCTGTTCCTGCACACGCCGAGTGCTGCATGCGTGCACGCCTCGGACAGAGATTTCACATGGTGTCTACAAGCACTTTGTCTACCTAAGCTTGGACAACTTGAACAACGCTAAGGTACTGAGACGTTTAAAAAAGAAAGTTTACTTTCCTTTTAGAATGCAGTCAGTTTTTTGTTTTGTTTTGTTTTAAGGAAACAAGGAAAGCTTTTAAAGGATTTTTGCTTTTAGCCATGCATCACGGATGAGCAATGTGACCGTTTTTTTCGCGTGGCAAGTCCGGCATGGGGGCTTGCTGGGTCGAAGGGAGTCATTCGCTCACCAAACATGTTTTTTGGTGCTCATCTCACATGTTATACTGTAAAACAGTTTTATACAATACCGTAGGACATGTTCATTGCTCACATGCAGAGTCTGCGGACAGCCGGTCACACCTGGCCGCGTGGGAAACTGGGTCCCCGCAGCCCCGACCTCGGCTGTCGTCCTATCTGAAGTGCCCAGCCCAGGGGCACGGAGCAGACTGGTGCCTGCAGATGAACAAACAGGGTGCGTTCAAGACTAGGAAAACAGGCAGCTGGTTTGCTATGGTGGTTTTAAATCATTGATTTGTATAAAGAAGTGAAAGAGATGTATAGTAAATAAATTAAATTGTAAACAAACTTTTTTAACGCAACGCTTTAGTATTTTAGTACTGTAAAAAGAATTTAAATATATACATATATATATATGGATTTGAAGCAGAATTCACATCATGATGGTGCTACTTGGCCTGCTACAAATATATCATAATGTGAGCTAAGGGTTCATACAGGTTTGAGTGACGCTCCTACTTGCCATATACCTCAACACTAGTGTGGCAATAGGATTGGGAACCACGCGTGAGCTGCTGGCATTGTGTACCATCATGTTTTTTATCAAGTCTCTCTTTTTTTTTAATTATCAAGAAAGCATACCTTTTTCAATACTTGATTTCTTAGCAAGTATAACTTGAACTTCAACCTTTTTGTTCTAAAAATTCAGGGATATTTCAGCTCCTGTTCTCCTGACGCCAAGATGTCACCTGTGTTCCTGTAAAATTGTTGTAGTTTAACAAATTCTTTTTCAGGGATGTAACCCTTTTAATTTGAATCCCTCTCTCTCTCTTCTACCTGTCCCCTGATTGTTACTAAACTAAAACTAATTTTGCAAGTCTGTTGGCCCATTGTATTGTAAAAAGCAGTTTGAAAGTCTGGGGAAATGTTTGACTAGCAAGCCGGATTGAAATGCAAACAACGCAGGAGCTGTTCCAGAGGGAACCCTGAGCCCTCTTGCTTTCAAGCTCCATAAAGACATTCTAGCCCCAGTGGTCAATATGGGCACAGACCCCTCCCACCCCCCACCCACTGTGCTCGGTGTTCCAGACTCCATCCCCTGTCCAGACTCCATCCCCTGTGGAGTTTCACACAGAGACTTATCAAACAAATTTATCAGAGGAAACCCCCCCCCTTTTTTAAAAAATCAGTCAAATCTATATTAATTGATTGGATCTTTTAACCTGGCTTTTATCTCTTGAAGAAATCTCTCATGGTTTTTGGCTGATTCAGTTTCCAGTGCGTCTGTGCCCAGACCCAGGTTCTGATCCTTGGCTGAGGCTGAGCCTGACTGATTGGTTACCACGTGCCGTGCCGTTGGCTGGTGTGGAGACAGCTACCCCCTATGAATATCTGGTTGCTTTGTCATCTACTGTCACTTGTCAAACTGCTGGCTACCGAGAACAGGACGTGGGGCTGGGGGTGAGGGAGAGACCAGCTGACAGGCTGAGCTTTGTGGCCAGGTCAGTGGTGTCACTGGCTTGAAATGCTAGTGTGTGGTGGCGACTTTACTTGAATGAGTTTTTCATGTGATTGACACACAGTGGCTGGCTCGTGTAGGAAACTGTCGCAGTTTGACACTAAGATAACAAACTCTGCATTTTTTTCCTATGCTTTTTTAAAACTAGCTTCATTTCATTTTTCATGAGATGTTTGGCCTATAAAATCTGATGATGGATATAAATACTGTAAGTATTGTAATGTTATGAATGCAGGTTATTTGAAAGCGTTTATTATTATATATCATTCCTTGATAACGCTATGTGAGTGTTTTTAATAAAATTTATATTTATTTAATGCATCCTAAGTGTGGTCTGGGAGTTTCTCTTTAGCTTGGGGGTAGGGGTGTTGGGTCTTTGGGCCTCATCCTGCGATACTCCAGACTCATTCCTGGTGGCCCTGGGAACATGTGGGGTACAGTGGGTTGTACCTGGGTGGGCTCCTGCAAGGCTTTCCCACTTTACTATTTCTCTAGCCCGAGAGATGCTTTTGTAAAGACACTGTAGGAGGCACTGGAGCAATGGGACAGTGGGGTGAGCACTTGGCAGACCCGGATTCCATCCCTAGTACCCCACATGGTCCTGTGAGTGCTGCAGGGAGTGGCCCCAAGTGAAAAGAAAAGGCGTGAGACCAGGGGGTGATGGCTCAGTGACTGGGGTACAGGCTGGTCCCCGGAGACAGGGAAGTGTTTGCATCTATTTCCAGGCTGCTGTGCCTGTCCCTAGTGGGTGTGTGCGCTCTTTTGTGGAGCTGAGGCAGCGTGCGCACGCACACACACGATTCTCTCCTCAGCAGCAGGGGAGTTGAGGCAGGCACACACACACACAGACACACACAGACACACACACACGATTCTCTCCTCAGCAGCGGGGGAGGCCTCTTGGGGCTCACCCAAACAACCAGCATAGGTAGGGCAGTTTTTGTAACGACGTTAATTAGTCTGGCTGAGGCTGTGATTTGTGACCACAGTGGTTTCATTTTACACATTTTCAAGCCATTAGCAAGACCCAGAGGCCGTGTTTTTTCACAGTTCCATCACGGGGAGGCCAGCCCGGAGGCAGGGCCTGACTGTCAGAGGCCCAGGGGGTCAGGAGAGTGGGCGCCACCCCCCCAGCACTCAGATGCGTCTCCACATGGGGGAGATGGGGGGTGCTGGAAGCTCCCCTGCCAGGACATCCAGCCTCCCTGCCTCCACACGGCATCACCCTTGTCACCTGTCTTCAGCCACACCCCTGCCTCCGGCCCCCACCTCTGTCCCCGCCTGGCTCTGCTGCATCCCTGACCAGAGCTGGGACAGCTGTGGGGCTGCTCCTCACATGTCAGCCAGGGCCTGCACACAGCTGCTCTCCAACCCGCCTCTGGGGGCTTTGTGGGGGTGTGGGGGAATCCCATTCCACAGGGTCTGCTCTCGGGAAACCCCGGAGAGCCACAGCCACCCTCTCGCGGTGGGATCAGGGTGGCCCTGACTGGGGGCAGAAGATGACTCCGTGGTGGAGGAACTGAAGGGAAATCCGGGATGTGGGGGCCAGACCCCAGTGCAGTGGAAAATTCCGCCTTGCCGAGGCTGGGCCTGGCCAGGGTCCGGTCGGTTTCCCCTCAGGCCATACTCCCCAGTCACAGGGAGAGCCAGCCTTCCCGTGCCCCTCGCTCGCCGTGCACCAGAAGGACACGCAGTGGGCAGGCCCATGTCCCTGGCCAGGCCCCTCTCCGGCAGCCTCTTTAAGGGTGGGGGTCCGAGAGAAGTTCGCTCAGTCCCCCAGCATTGCCCCAAGGGCACCCTGAGGCACAGCCAGCCAGGAACCCTGTTTGGTCGCAGCTGGACGCCTTTCACTGCAGCTGTTCATATGGACGGACAGGGCCCAGGGTCACCCCTCCAAGTGACACGTCCAGTGCACACACAGGCTCTGTCCACGACAGGGCAAGAGGCCCCAGATCTGGCCGCCTCCCCAGCCTCCCATGTGGTCAGCACCTGTGGGGGAAGCTAGGAAAGGGCCAGGAGGAGCAGGGGCGGGGGGGGGTGTCACTTGGGGGCAGGAAGCAGCGTGCAGGGCCCTCCTGGGGCCACGCAGGGTAGGGCGGCTGGACCTGAAGGTCTGCGGCCCTTGGGTTCAATTTGTCATCATGCAATCAATGAAATGCTTCATTCAGACCCCCCACACCTCCCCTCCCTACACATCCCAGGAGGGAGAACTGGCCCTGTGCAAAGGTGTCATGACTATGGACACTGACAGGGTAGAACCCCCGCTATTATCGCTGCCCAAAGCTCTGACTTTTTGTCTTGGTCTAAGTGTCCCACCTGGCAGTGCTCAGGGCTGACTCCTGCCTCTGCACTTAAGGTCACTCCCTTCGGGGCCGATGGGCACACACCCACCTAAACCAGCATTTCCAGCAAGGGATCTCTGGGCAGGAGCCAGGCAAAGGGGACCTGCGGTCACCACAACCACGGGAAGGGCAGCGAGTCGAGAGCAAAGTCCAAGGGAGGTGGCATCACTGGGATTGCTGCCCACCATTTCATGAACGAATCCCACCGTCCTCTAAAACTGGGGGGGGGGGGTGGGGTGGGGAATAGAACTTACAATCTCATTTTGCAATGCCAGTACTGTGCTGACACAAACAGACAAGGCCACCACAGAGAGTGGACTTACAGCCATTTGATTATTTGGTCTGAACAGCTGGCCCAAGCACCAACAGTGACCCCTAGGCCCCTGGTCACTGCTTGGGAGGGTCCCACCACCACCAAAACAGCTTGTAGCTTTGCGGGAAGGATGCTAAAGAGCTGCATATAATTTTGTGATGTATATACAAATTGGGCTGGAGCGATAGCACAGCGGGTAGGGAGTTTGCCTTGCATGCAGCCAACATGGCCGACCTGAGTTTGATTCCTCCGCCCCTCTCGGAGAGCCTGGCAAGCTACTGGGAGTATCTCGCCCGCACGGCAGAGCCTGGCAAGCTCCCCATGATGTATTCGATATGCCAAACACAGTAACATGTCTCACAATGTTACTGGGCCCACTTGAGCAAAATCGATGAACAACGGGAGGACAGTGACAGTGATACACAAATTATTAAGTGGCACACCTAGACTAATTGCGTTAAGTCAATTCTTATTA